TCTCTTCTTCTATTTCTTGCTCATTACTCTCTCCTACAACCATATATACTTCCGCAATTTCATCTTCTGTTCCATTTACTCGGGACAATACATCTACATTCCAATGTGTACTTCCCAACCTATGCTAGATCGTGTAATTATATAGCTGTAATCAGAGTATCTATTGTGCCCTTCTCCCTTTTAACTTCGTACTATGCAACCACTTTATTGCCGAGTGGTCCGTTATTATTACGAATAGCCTAAAGCCAAAGTAATGGTGGTAGTATTCTACTGCCCAAATGACCGCCAGGCACTCTAATTCACATGCCGAATAGTTTCTTTCGGCTTTAGATAAACTGCGGCTAGCGTACGAGATCACATGCTCCTTCTTTTTTTTTCTTTTTGCGCCAAAACAGTACCCAGCCCAGTTCCGGATGCATCAGTATACAAGTAAAACATATCATTAAAATCGGGGTATTTAAGAACGGGCGCTATAGTTAGGTAATTTTTTAACGCCTCAAATGATTTTTGCTGCTCTTGTTCTCAGTAAAAACTAACGCCTTTTTGCAGTAAATAGTGTAGAGGCTTTGCTAATGTGGCGAACCCGGGTATGAACCTTCTATAGTATGACGCAAGGCCGATGAAACCCCTTAACTGGCGTAGTGTACCTGGTATTAGATAATTTCTTACTTTTTCCACTTTACTTTCATCAGGTTGTATCTCTTGCCTTCCAATTATATGTCCGAGGAAATGGATGGTGGGTTTAAAGAAATCGCATTTCTCAATGTTGATTTTTAATCCCGCTTCGGCCAACTTATCAAATACTTTCTTTAGATGCCCCAAATGTTCATTGAACGTTCTTGAATATACATTAATATCGTCGATATACACGACCACGAACTTCCCAATATACTCCTCCAAGACACGGTCCATTAGGCGCTGGAAGGTGGCTGGCGTGTTCGACAAGCCAAATGGCATAACATTAAACTCGTACAATCTACTCCACATTATAAAGGCCATCTTCTCCTTGTCTTCTTCTTCGACTCTTACTTGCCAGTATCCGCTCTTTAGGTCTAAACTAGTAAACCAACTTGTAGTACTAAAAGTCTCCACTAGGTCATCTATTCTTGGCAGTGGGTATGCGTCCTGTCTCGTAATCTCATTTAACTTCCTATAATCTATACAAAGGTGTAGCTTTCTACCTTTCTTTGGGACCACGACTACAGGCGAAGCTCGTGGGCTACTAGACTTCCAAATCAAACCCTTTCTTCCATTTCTTTTAGTTCCTTTTTTATAAACTTGTGTTTGTTTGGCACTGCTCTGTAGGCTCTTTGCTTTATCGGTTTGGCCCCGCCAGTATCGATCCGGTGACTTGTTACAGTGGTTTCCCTGAGACCCTGCATATTATTGGTAAATATGTTTCTTTCTTTTTGAAAAAATGTTTCCGCCTTTTCCTTCTCTTCTTTGTCTAGGGCGTTGTTTTGTAGGAACTTTTCTTTGAGGTTGGTTACATATTGGCAAGGGGTAAATATCATACATTTTTTTTTTTTTTTTTTTCACTTGTCTTCAATCCTTCGATATGGCTTACTAACACACTAACTCTTGTACTCACTATCCCTATAATCAAAACCAGGGTTGGGCCTTCCTCTTGGACCTCAAACCGGAATTCAATTACCTCAACTGTCCACAGTACGTTGGGAGAGTTGGAAACAACAACGGTAGTCCTCAGTACGTGAGAATCAACCAGACAGGGTACGATACACTTTATGTTAGTCTCGTGAGCACGAATACAAGAGCGTTGATCGTACCACTTATGCCAGATGCCTCAACCCGGAATTGTACTATGTTGACTCGGGGTTGGCACTCTTCTTTTTGGGTAAGTTCTCTCTTTTTCTCTAACCTTAGCTTTCCACACTTGTAGGTACTAACCGAAACTATGCTAGTTCTTCTCTTTTTCCACAGCCAGGATTACAGTATGTCGAATCGGGCTGGAATATCTTCCTTGAGTCTTATGTTTCAGGTCTTCTAATTTTGCAGCCCAGCTGCTTGAACTGATCTCTTCAAGATTTGTTGATGGGATATTGTACAATCTCACAGTCACCACCAAAATGTTATGGGCGGAATAGCTACGACTCGGTCGCTCCACAATCCAAAAACTCACGTAACCTGCGAGTAGTAACCTTACGAAAGAGGTGTGTTAGATTTGGCTAGTGGGTAATTTAAGACTTCGGTTACTCTGAGTCAGCAACGCTAGGTCACGTGAACAAGGGCTTAATGAATGACAAATTATAACTTTAGGGTTCAAAAGTGTATTTGCGCAATAGTATTTTTATACAATGTGATAGGCAATGTATTTGATACTTTGAGACTTGGTTATTAGTGAAGCAAATGAAACATCCTTTTTTTTGGGGCGATAACGCCTTTATTTATAATAAACTTTACTTAGGACTTATTATAATCAATAAATCCCGTTTACATATTTTCTTTACTAAAAC